TTATTTTCCGCTTTTTTTTTTTTGAGTTGGAGTCACTCTGTCACCCAGACTGGAGTGCAGTGGCCACTCCCGGCCACCGCAGCCTCGACTTGCTGGGCTCTGGCGATCCTTCCGCCTCAGCCTTCTTAGCCGCTGGAACTACAGGCACGCGCCACCACACCTGACTAATTTTTGATTTATTGCAGAGATGAGGTCTCACCAAGTTGCCCAGGTGGGTCTCGAACCCGCAGGCTCAGGCAATCCACTCACCTCAGCCTCCCGAAGCTCTGGGGTGACAGGCTGAGCCACCGAGCCCGGCCACACATTGTATTTCTATGGGATGGTCTGCTCCAGAGAGCTCCTCCAACTTCACAAATTAGATTACACTCCCTTCAGGGAAGCTGCCTCTGATGACCCAAGCCCCATTCCAGCCTGAATTAGTAATGTACCCTCTGAGTTGCTGCTGTACCCTGTGCTTTTCTCTCCAGCATGGCACATTTCCTCAGCTTCCTCCACCAAGGCTGTAATGTCTGAGGGCCAAAACCAGGTCTGCTGCATGGGACTTTCCACCCCCCGGCCTCTAAGCCGGCAGAAGATATGGTTCACTGAAGATGGAACTCAGAACCAACAAATGAAAGAAGAGGTTTTGAAACTATTAGAAACGGAACTATGGTGATGAAATGGTTGGAGAATCTTCTCAGTTCTTTACTTTTATTTGAGAAGCGTTAAACTTTGCAAAATGTCGGGGGAGGGCGGGACACGGGAGGAGGTGCTGACTCCAAGTTCAGCGGGGCTCTAGACTTTGCTGGGCTCAGCACTTCGAATCCCCAGTTTTTGGTAGACGTCAGAGCATTCCGTTTCCTTCTGGCTTTCCCTCCTGCATCCTAAGTCCTGTCAAAATGGCACCTTCAGCTTGTGCAGGCGTCGCTGTCCACACAGAGCTGGGGCCTCTGTCCCGGTGTCACCAGGCTGGCCCTGGGCTTGTCAGCAGTTGACTGTGGAACAGAGCCCTTGGATTTCAGACTCTTTGGGCCAGGGAGGAAGGCTCCACTTGAACCCGATGACCCAACTCTGTTTCTTAAAAGTAATCGTTTGAATTTCTGTAGCTTGTTTCTATATACGAACCTTGGTACTTTGAAATGTTCAATTTTCCTTAAAGCTGTTACCTTGAAAATAGCATTTTAGGGGAAAAGTATTTATTTATTTTTATTTTTTTTAGTTGGTGTCTCAACTCTGTCACCCAGGCTGGAGAGCATCTCACGTTGACAGCCACCGCAGCCTCTACCTGCTGGGCTCAGACGATCCTCCGCCTCAGCCTTCCAAGTAGCTGGAATTACAGGCATGCGCCACCATGCCTGGCTAATTTTTTGATTTATTATAGAGATGTGGTCTCACCAAGTTGCCCAGGCCAGTCTCGAATCCCCGAGTTCAGGCAATCCTCTTGTCTCGGCCTCCCAAAGTGCTGGGATTATAGGCTGAGCCACCGCACCTGGCAGAAAAAAGTTTTTTGTTCAGTAGCAAGGATTCAAAGAGGACCCGCCTTGGATGCTGTGTCCATCATTTTGACCAGTTTTAAACAGCTGGTTCCTGGGAACACCCAGAGCCGTGCAGGGCTGGGCAAGCAGTAGCCACAGATGACAAGTTTGCTCTCCAGGTCCCCAATTTATTGCTGAGGTATTTCCATGTTGTGGCATAACCGCTGACCTGGTCAGACTTAAGGTTGGAGACTTCAAGAAGCTGCTATAGCTGGTCGATTGTAGAAGTGCTGGTGTTTGACATTTTGACGCTGTCATGGTTATGCTCCTGGTCTTGGCATGAGAGGAACTATTTTCCGCTGTCGTTTCCTTGACGGTTTCCCTTTCTTCAGTGATTGCCTGTGCGTCCCTCATTTCCATCACCAAACTGGAGTGGGATCCAAGAGAAAAGGTAAGCCTGGCGTTGTTCTCACTATGGCTGTCCACCTGGTCAGGTGAGGCCGTGACTGGGCCAGGCCCAGGAGGTGTCACTGCCGATTCTTGGAGCACACTGCCAGAGGTGAAGTAAGTCTGGCACGGGATCAGCTGCCTGCCCAGTCATTTGGCAGTGTGTGTATCGTAATTGACTACCAGGGCAATCCCAGGTGGTTTCTGGGATTATTTCCTATATGTTGAACTCTTAATTTCTTTCTTAAGTACTTCAGCTGCCTATGCTTTGTTAAAGCCGGTGGGGGTTGGGGGTGGACAGCATGAATGAAGGTGTGTGGAAACCAAAGGAGGCACGGGGGTCGAGGCCAGTTCCAGTTCAGGGGTGGTTCAGGATAGAGTGAGAAATAAATTTAATCATGGATAACTTTGCAAGGGGATAGTGGCTTTAAGAAGCAGGCAGAGGCCAGGCATGCCTGGAATCCTAGTGCTTTGGGAGGCCGAGGCAGGAGGATCACTTGAAGCCAGGATTTCAAATCAGACTGGGCAGCATAGTGAGACCCTGCGTCTACAAAAAAATAAAAAAGAAGTACAAATATAAAATGAGGCAAGCGGAGAGGCTCATACTTGAGGTAGGTGACCAGAGTAAGCCTTTGAAGACTTTTGAACAGAAAAGGAAGAAGAATGTATTATTGGACAGGTATTATGCAGAAGCAATACCTGGGCTGGCCTGAAGAGAGAGGTCGCCTTAGGAGGGCAGGGAGACGGCAGCTCCTCTCCTAGGTGATTTCAAATCCAGATGAGCCGAGACTCGAAGAGACAGGGAAGGAACCCTTGGTGGGTGCTGGCGGGTGGCTCCCACGAGAATGAGGGGCATGGTGACTCAAAGGTGCCTTCCGTGCTTTTATCCTGGGAGAACCTATTCCTGTGACCAGAGATACATCTCTAACAGGGATGACCAATTGTGTAGGCGGAAGTGGGTGAGTTGGCGTCCGCATCTTTGACTCTGAGGCTGTCATGAGGCACCAAGGGGCAATGTCCCGTTAGAAACTCCGGCCTGGACCTCTGGTGGGACCATAAGCATCGGCGTGTAGGGTAGAGTGACTGGTCATTTCTGGTGCCAACGTCCGAGTACACCGATCCAAATGTCTGGAACCGAGACTCAGGCAAGTGGGTACCTGGAGTGGCGTCTGATTCCGGATGCCGCGTGGGAGAGTCAGCGAGGAACAGCGGAGGTCCCCCGCCCCACCAAGGAGCAGGAGGAGGCGTTCCTCCAGAAACGAGGAGGAAAGGAGGGAGTCGGGGCCAGAAGAAGAGCTGGGTTGTGCCTGGAATTGGCCTCCTGGGCCGAGTTTCCAGCACTGGGAGACTGGGGGACAGCATGGGGGAGAGGGTGGCCATGGGGCAGAGGGTCTGAGGAAGTTTGTGATTCAGAAGAGTGAACAGCTCATGGTCAACTGCTAAATGTAACACTCTGAAGAACAGGAGAAATGCCAGGCTGAAGCCCACACAGTCCAGCGTGGAAACGCAGAGGCCACAAAGCAGCGAATTCTTGCTGGATGAGAGGAAACGGGGTCCCAGAGACGAAGGGAGGGTGTTTCTCAAGGGAAAGGGACGTGGCTAACCACGGCAAAGGTAGCCACTGGTCTCGAGGAGCGAGGTCCCTGGGTTTGGGCAACGAAGGCATCCCTGGTGTCTGAGGAAGCAGCTTGACATGTCAAGGACAGAAGCCAATCGCCAGAGGCTGAAGAAATGGTGAGGGGCACAGTTCGTTCCTTCAGCTGTCGGCCAGATGTTCGCTGAGGCCTGTTCTGGACTGGCAGCTAGAGGGGACAGCAGGGTCAGCGGAGGGATCTCTCAGGATGGAGGATTCTGGCTGCTCGGGAAGCACCCAGCCAGACCAGGGAGAGACAGGATGGCGGAGAAGGGTCCAGGCTGGTGTTCAAAGGGCTTCCTTTTAAGGCCTTTAAAAACGGCCACGTTAGTCAATCAGACCTAGACAAAAGGCAGGGTGTTTTTGAGGTGCGGGAATTAGCCCCATGGGAAGGGGGTTTCGTGCCCCTTCCTCTGGTGAGAACCGCTTTCTGAAAGCGCGACCCAGCCAGGCTGGGTGGCTCAACCTGTCATCCCGCGCCTTTGGGAGGCTGAGGCGAGTGGATTGCCTGAGCCCGCGGGTTCGAGACCCACCCGGGCAACTTGGCGAGCCCTCATCTCTACAATAAATAAAAAATTAGCTGGGCGTGGTAGCGCGCACCTGTTGTTCCAGCTACTTGGAAGGCTGAGGCGGAAGGATCGCCGGAGCCCAGCAGGTCGAGGCTGCGGTGGCCGGGAGCAGCCACTGCCCTCCAGTCTGGGCAACAGAGTGAGTCTTCAACTCAAAAAAAGAGCGCGACCCCAGGTGGAGCAGCCCGGGTGGACTTTTCTCTTCCGCCACCAGGGGGAGATGTTCCACCACCCACGGGCTGCAGGGCTGGGCTGGACAGAGCTGGTCCCACACGGTGACAAATCTGTGACATCCCACTTTCTGTCTTAAAAATGTGAAAAGCCCCTGGTGTTCCCCCCGCTTCTCACGTCACCGTGCCATTCTTGCATTGCCCGATGCTCCTGATATCAATGAATGCCAGCCCCCTTACATGCATTCACTGAAGGATTAATCACAGGGGTGCTGTCCCAGACCTCCCAGGGGGCTTTGGGGCCTTCACAGGCACTCATGCGACTGGCTGACTTGGTCACAGGGTTTCGCAGGGTGGGAATCACATGGCCATTGTCTCATTCACACAGCAAGGCTGTTGGAGCATTGCCAGCACTCACACGTGTGTGGAGGAGCCGGGCCCCCTGGTTCAGAATATTAATTTCTTAATATTCTGCCTCTGTTTTTTTGTTTGTTTTTGAGTTGGAGTCTCACTCTGTCGCCCAGGCTGGAGGGCAGTGGCACGCTCCCGGCCACCACAGCCTCAACCTGCTGGGCTCCGGCGATCCTTCCGCCTCCGCCTTCGGAGTAGCTGGAACTACAGGCGCGTGCTACCACGCCCGGCTGATTTTTGATTTATTGTAGAGATGAGGTCTCGCCAAGTTGCCCAGGCGGGTCTCGAACCTGCGGGCTCAGGCAATCTACTCACCTCAGCCTCCCAAAGGCGCGGGATTACAGGCTGAGCCACCGAGCCTGGCTTATTTTTATTTTTATATTTTAAAAATGTACCTAGGAGTCTTCAGAATGAGCAGACGTGCATTTATTTATTTACTTGTTTATTTATTTTAAAGATGTGGGGTACAACTCAGGGTTAGGTATACAAATGTTCATTATGCAGGTAACACGTGCATTTTTTTTGGTATACAGAATTAAACATGTTTTTGTTTTGGTGGGGGATGGGGTTCTCACTTTATCACCCAGGTTGCAGTGCAGTGGCACCATCACAGCTCACCACAACCCTGACCTCCTGGGCTCAGGTGATCCTCACCTCAGCCTCTAGAGGAGCTGGGGTCAGTTGTGTGCCACCATGCCCGGGTAATGTTTGTATTTTTTGCAGAGACAAAGTCTCACTATGTTGCCTACACTGGTCTTGAACTTCTGCTCTGGCCTCCCAAAGTGCTGGGATTACAGGCATGAGCCACCGTGCCTGGTCCTAAACATGTTTTAAAATTAGTTACCAGCATGAACAAACCAGAAAATCTCTCTCTCACACACACAAGGTCTCACAATTAAGTTCACAAACTCATCCTAGGAAAAGTGCTATGAATACACACTTTATTGCTGAATATCACTACGGTCACCTTCGAAGTACTCCCTGTGGGAAGCTATGCACAGACGCCAGTGCCTGGTCCATCCATCAAAGCAATTTTGTAACTATTTCTGGAATGGCCATCAAGAGCTGTCATTGTATTGCCTTGATATCCTGCATGTCATCAAAATGTCTTCCTTTCGATATTTCTTTTCACTTCAGGTAAAGAAAAAAAAATCACTGGGGGCCAGATCAAGTGAGTAGGGAGGGTACTGCGATACAGTTATATGTTTACTGGCTAAAAACTCCCTCATAGATAGTGCTGTGTGCGCTGGTGCATTGTCATGATGCAAGAACTCTTTCGGGACAGGATGCAGTGGTTCAATCTGTAATCCCAGCACTTTGGGAGGTCGAGGCAAGGGGATTGCCTGAGCCCAGGGGTTCGAGACTAGCCTGGACAACTTGGTGAGACCTCATCTCTACAATAAATCACAAAAACTAGCCGGGCGTGGTGGCATGCATCTGTCGTTCCGGCTACTTGGAAGGCTGAGGTGGAAGGATCGTCAGAGCCCAGCAGGTTGAGGCTGCGGTGGCCATGAGAGTGCCGCTGCACTCCAGCCAGGGTGACAGTGAGGCTCCAACTCAAAAAAAAAAAAAAAAAAAAGCTCCTTTGGGACCATTTTTGCACACACCTTTCTCATGCTAAGATTTTTAGTTGTGATTTTCCTCCCTTTCTCTATTGATGTTTACTTGGTCTGCTATGCTTCTCATAGTCAGCTGATGATTTTGACACACAGTTTTCGTCAGTTCTGCTTGTTACTGGCTGTTCTGACCTGTCTTCATCAGGGATGCTTTCTCTACCCTCAGAAAAATGTTTAGTCCATTTGAACACTGCCGTTTTCTTCATGGCGTTACCCCCATAAACTTGGACTAACACGTCCCTGATTTCACTTCCTGCCAAGTTTAACGAGATTTAATGCTCACTCGTTGCTCTAATTCAAGCTCCAACATTCTCGAGATGACACACAAAAACACGCAACAGCAATTAGGAACACCGTTCAGCAAGACACCACGACATGTCTACATGAACACAGCTGGGAGACACTGATCTACCAAGGTCATGAAACCTTACCAAGTTGTTTGTGCAGTGCTGCTCGCGTAAGCCCAAGGTGGCAAGTCTCCTAACTTAATTGTCAGACACCACACACACTCACTCACTCACAGGCTTTCTTTTTTCCTCTTCCAAACCACACTGGGGTGTTACTTTCCCACTTGGTGAAGATGGAGTTGAGCTGAGGAGGCATGTGTGGCCCCCTGGCTTCCATCAGTTCTCATAACCATCAGTGTTATTTGCTTTCATTAATTTTCTGGCCTCCTGAGGCAACTGTGCTTGGAACCCCTGGCTCCAGGGCTGCTTCCCGGCTTCTGTTCTCCCTTGCTTGCCCCAGAAAATGCAGTTAACCTGGAGTGTCTCGCGCTGTATTTACCTCGCCATGTCCAGCAACATTTTCTGAGTGAATATTTTCTGTAGAACCAGGAAAACACAAAACCCGGAGAGGCTGGCCATCCCGTTTTGCCTCGATTGTACACTTGTGCAATCGTGAAGTGTGCCCTCAGCTTTGGGATGCCTGTGGCAGGGAAAGTTCTTCTGTGGGGTCCAAATCTACTTCCCTGTCTCAGCCATTTGGTGGCGGTTCTTCTGCCTGTGGAAGTAATTAGACCAAGTCTTGCAGTCAGAGAAGTGAGCCAGAGAAGCTCTGGAACCCCGGCGCCGTGTCCTCGGTGGGCAGGGGTCTGACCCTAATCCACACGGCCCTGCTGGTCGCATTTCCCTGGGCTCCAGCCTGTGCTCCCTGGAAGGCCTTGTCCCTTGCTCATGCCTTCTCGTTATTATTTCAGCATGTACCCCGAAGCCAGGCTCTTAGGCTAAACTCTGTTTCTCTATTATTGCTGCTAGGATTATGTATATCACATAGTGAGCGCCGTCTGTGAGTGGACAGTGGCCTTCGGCTTTATTTTCTACTTCCTAACTTTCATCCAAGATTTCCAGGTAGGTATTTCTCAATTCAAATGTTATAAGTAGCTGACAACTAGTAGTCGTAAAAATTCAAGGAAAATTTCTTGCATTTAAAAAAAGATCACTTTCTTTTTACCCTTAATTGTTTGAAAAAAAATAAGTACTGTACACTTTAGTTTTTTAGCTGCTTCTCAATGGGAAATATCTTCCACGGCTTTCCCAACTGATGAATGTTTCAATGTCCTCTGCCATTTGATGTGAACAGTCAGGTGTCCTGGTTGTTTTCCTTTTGAGGAGGTCTCACTATTTTCAAACAATAGGAAATATAGCTCTTTGCAAAATAAAAGTGTAGGCTGGGCATGGTGGCCCACACCTGTGATGCCAGCACTTTGGGAGGCCGAGGCAAGAGGACTGCCTGAGCCCAGGGGTTCATGACCAGCCTGGGCAACTTGGTGAGACCTTATCTCTTCAATAAGTCAAAAAGATTAGCCAGGCGTGGTGACACGTGCCCGTGGTTCCAACCACTTGGAAGGCTGAGGCGGAAGGATCACTTAATTCCAGCAGGTCGAGGCTGCGGTGGCCGTGATTATGCCACTGCATTCCAGTCTGGGCTACCAAGTGAGACTGAAAAAAATTTTAAAAAGCGTATTGTTGAAAATATCACTAAGGCGGAGAGAAGATAGGATCTCTGCAGGGGAAAGCATATAATTTGAAAGAAGTGCATTTTTAGCAGAAAGGATACAGAAAGCCACGGATATTTTTGAGGTCCCAACTGTAGCACAGCCCAAGTTTTGGTGAGTTCAGACTTGGTTGATGTGGAGTCTTTAGAAATGTCAGAGCCAGCTGGGCTCGGTGGTTCAGCCTGTAATCCCGCACCTTTGGGAGGCTGAGGTGAGTGGATTGGCTGAGCCCGCGGGTTCGAGACCCGCCTGGGCAGCGAGACCTCATCTCTACAATAAATCAAAAACTAGCCGGGCGTGGGAGCACGCACCTGTAGTTCAAGCTACTTGGAAGGCTGAGGCGGAAGGATCGCCGGAGGCCAGCAGGTCGAGGCTGCGGTGGCCGGGAGCAGCCCCTGCACTCCAGTCTGGGCGACCGAGTGAGACTCCAACTCAAAAAAAAAAAAAAAAAAAAGAAAGAAAGAAATGTCAGAGCTGGCACTGGAATTGTTTAACTTATTATATCCTCCTCTTTTCATTTTTCCAAATAGAGTGTCACCCTAAGGATATCCACAGAGATCAGTGGTGACATTTGAAGAAAGAAGAGTTCTATCTCAGTGAGTGTCGCAGACAATTCTAGAGGGTGTGCAGAGGACAGAGGGGAGATTGATGCCGCCCTCATTGGAACGCTCTGCGGCACACCCAGGACTTGAATTCACTAAGAATTCCCAATAGTTGTACTATTTTTCAAAGGTATGTTTTCCCAGAGAATGTAGAGCAGTTATGACACTGTGGCGATGCTTTTATAATTTTCTAAGTAGACAACGCTTTTGTACTAACAAATTCATACACAGATAATAAGGTGTTACAGGAAATGGAGCACTCTTATTTTTATACAGATTTTGTTGTTGTTTTTCAAGTACACTCAGTGAAGAGTTTTAGTACATTTGTTACAAAGTGAAATCCGGAGATACTCATTTTTACATTCAGTTTGACACAGCTGTATTTTTTTTTTTATCACGAGAGCATTTATAAAATTCAGCTTATGATGATCATACACCCACATCATCATGATGTAGTTAATAAATTCACATTAAGTGACTCCAATCTGCAGCTGAACCAAGAGCAATGCTTCTGTGGAGATGCCTTCGTGCCCCTGTGCACGTCAGCTCTCAGGGGACGCGGAGGACCTCGGCGTGGAAATCTCCCCTTCCCTCCCTGAGCCTCCCACTGGCTGGACTCTCAGCCTGCTGCAGGCCGGCCGTCAGGGCGGGTGTCACCGCCAGCGGGGTGGGCTCAGCGAGGCAGGTGAGAATGCTAAAACCATCCTTTATTGCTATTGGCATGACTTGATACATGCTCTGACTTGGGCCGAAATTCCTTCTCGAATTCATTTTATGCCAGTAAACATGTCGCATGCAGTGAACAAAGGCCCCAGAGGAGACACAGCGGAAGCACACGCACTTCTTTCTCCGTGGGCAGGTGCCGTTTGCTCGCACCTGCTTGTTGTGCTTGCGGCTTGGGTGTCACACACACAACAGGAGATGTGAGTCAGGCCCTTGGATTAGTCAGGCCCTACAGATGCCACTTTTCACCCAAATCAGGAGTGACAAATGACAAGCAATTCATTCCAGAAAAGAAGTAGCCCCTGGTATGTGAAGACTCAGACTTGAGAATTGAACAGAAGGCATTCTGTCTTTAAAAGACCCAGAGCTAAGTCCGTCTATAGACAAGTGGGACCAGCCATCAAGGGCACGTGCCAAGGGCCGAGCAGCCCACGTGGACAGTCGTGGAGGGCACAGCATAGGGCCCATGCTTGCTCCTGGTTTACTGGCTGTTGGGTGGGCAGGGGGAGGCTTGGTAGCCGTTAGCCCCCTGTGTAGGGAGAGGCCACATCTGCCCTGGCACTCAGCAGTAGGAAGTCGCTTGTACTGCCAGAGACCCCCGCTGTCACACTGGAACTGAAGGACAGTGACCAGAGCTATGTCAAGCATTGGGATTCTGAAGAGGAGAAACGGCACACACCTTTCCCCCGCAACCTGTGGTAGGACTCTGCCGTCCTATCTGTGCTTGAGCAGACATTTGTCACCAGCACCGCTCCTGCCACGTGACCATCCTCCATTGCCACCCCTCTCTGCACTGTGAGACTGACGATGCGCTGAGGGCAGAGTGTGTGCCTTGACCTTCAACTCTGTAACTCCAGCATTTAACACAGTGCCTCCGGGTACACTGTCGGTGCTTAATAAATACTCCTTGCATGCGTGGATGTGTGAAGGAGCCAATGAAAGAATGAGTAGGGATGTCTGTAGTGCTGTATAATGGAGTTTCCTCCCGTTTGCTACTCAGTTGAATGGGAGATGGTCTGTGTCACCCAGGAAGGGGGACTGTTTTGCTCTGTATACTGCAAACATTCCAGTCGTGTGGGTGTCACCATTTTGTGACAACTCTCTTTACCCTGCACAGTCAGCACAGAAGTAAGCATATGGGCCAGACCAAATGCCACACCTGTTTTGGCACACTGAGAAGCCAAAACCATCCAGACAATCACATTCTGTGGATTCCACGCCACCTTGAAAGCCGGACTTACCCTCATTTTTATAATATCTGTGAACTTGCATTTCCTTGGACCTCGTGGCTGAAAGAGTAAAATAAAATGAAACTTATTTAGTAATTTGTGTTTCTGTTAAAATGTCACCACGGTGCATTCATTTGAGGGATGATTCTAGGTCCTTTTGGACTTCAAAAAGGGATGGATTGAACCTTATGCTTTCTTTTTTTTGAGTCAGAGTCTCACTCTGTTGCCCAGGCTGCAGTGCAGTGGCATGCACACGGCCACTGCAGCCTGGACCTGCTGGGCTCCGGCGATCCTTCCGCCTCAGCCTTCCAAGTAGCTGGAACTACAGGCACGCACCACCACGCCCAGCTAATTTTTCGATTTATTGTAGAGACAAGGTCTCGCCAAATTGCCTGGGTTGGTCTCGAACCCGCGGGCTCAGGCAGTCCTCTCACCTTGGCCTCCCAAAGTGCTGGGATGATAGGCGTGAGCCACTGTGCCCGGCCAATGCTTTCTTAATTTGTGCAGCTTGGCGTGTGGGCACAATTGGTCCATCTTTGTAGAGATTCTCAATCATTTGCATCAGAAGGTGGTGTGGGTCCAGGCGCTTAGAGATGAAGGCATCAGAGACCCAGCTGGAGGGACAAGAGGGAATCTATTACAACCTCAAGTCACTGAGATGTACCCCCTGAAACGTGAAGGCTTAGGCTCGAGAGTTGAAGAGAAGGAGGAAGGAGTTCTGTCTTTAAAAGACCCCAGAGCTAAGCCCGTCTATAGACAAGTGGGACCAGCCATCAAGGGCACGTGCCAAGGGCCGAGCAGCCCGTGGACAGCCGTGGAGAGCACAGGCATGAGGCCCATGGTAGATCCTGGTTCACTGACTGTTGGGTGGGTGGGGGGAGGCTTGGTAGCCGTCAGCCCCCTCTGCTGGCTGCAGGATGGCCGGATCCTCTCTCTGTCCTCTCAGCTCTGCTGTCCTCCCTGTGGGGCTCATTCTCAGGTGGGCTTTTCCTTGGTGGAAGTGAGAGGGCATGGAGAAACCCCAGGCCTGCAGCCTACCCAGCAGAGACGACCTCTCTCAGCTGCAGCAAAAGCCACAAATGTAAGCTTGTCTCTGATTGACTGGTGGGGGGGTTCACAGGCCCATGGGGCGCACGAGCCTCTGATTGGTCAGACCTGAGTCACCGTCCACTTGGCGCAAGGACCAGTCAACTCCGCCCAAACCACTGGGCCGATAGTGGGTAAAGGTTGTTTCTCACGTTAGAGAGGGGTGGGAAATGGATCTTGACGGACAGCGGCAGATTCCTCTAATTAAAGCCCCTTCTCCCTTCCGCCCAAGCCAGCCTAACTTGCTTCAGAGTAAACCAGAGCACATTTGCTAATGATCTCTTAGGACTAAATAGAAAACAACAAAAACAAGTACAGTTAAGCCATTCGGGCAATACGGGCAATACGAATACCTTCTGCTGACTTCAAAGCATGTCAGTATTTTCTTCACGGTCCCTGTGTTCTTATTCAGCCTCTGTGAGAATGGTCAGGCAATGGATCATCACGTTTTGCAGATGACATGAATGTGAAAACGGGCTCTGTGACCTGCAAGCCTTTGCAGCCAGATGGCAGCAGATTTCAGTGTGGGGCTCTTTTTTTCTTGATTCCCGATCAAGTGGGTCTTAAAACAACAACAACAACACACGCTGGGCGTGGTGGCTGGTGCCTGTAACCCCAGCACTTTGGGAGACTGAGACGAGAAGATTGCCTGAGCCCACGGGTTCGAGACCAGGCTGGACAATATGGCAAGACCTCGCCTCTACAATAAATAA